TGAATGCTACAAATGCACATAAATTATGACATGTTAAGCCTTATTTAGATAAGATCCTAGGCAGGTTGTGATCTTCTGAAACAATTGTTTTCCAAACAGCATTGAGTGCTTTTGATTTAAATTTGAATTTTTTAATCGTTTTACCAACTCTAAGAATGTTATTTGTATCTAAAAATATACTTAGCTGATGGAGTTTGCTATTCTTAGGGAGAGGGACTTGATTTTTTAGATGATTAAGCTCCTGGCAAAATTCTGATTCTTGAATAATCTTAATAAGTCTTTATGGACCTATTTCTTTAGATGAAAGTACGCCAGAAAATTTAGTTGACCTTCAGTTGTTATTAAATTGCAAGCATCAAGAGATTACTCGAATTAGACGTGTAAATGATTGAAATTTCTCAATAATTGTTAGAAAATAATTGTTTTTGTTAGAAACTGTGATGTTATTGAGAACTACAGCTGATCGTTCTTCACATTTTAGATCTTTTTCAGTTTGCGATGAGGCAATAGATGGGAAATCTTGTCTTAACCACTGTGGTCCAGTCCTCCACAGATCACGATTTTTAAATTTTGATGCAGAAACACCTCGAGAAGCACAATCAGCAGGATTTTCTTGACTTTTTACATGCTGCCAAGTTGCTCCTGATGCCAATTCCTGAATTTTAGAAATGCGATTACAAACAAATGTTTTCCATTTAGTAGGATCTGACTTCAGTGTAGAGAATGTGAGGATAAAGAAAAAAAGGAAACGTTAAAAATCGGGAAAAGTACCTCTGATAACACACCTATATATCGCACTTATCTTCTTTTAATGGTTTCTCAGGATTTAAAGATTTCTCAGTAATTATTCGCTCTATTTCGCACAAATTTTGTAATTCGCTATTTAAAATTATGTTCTTAAAAATTACGTAAAAAATTGTCTGCCTTGCAATTTAAAAATTTTCTCTGACATTTTAAAATAGAATATAAATAAATAATTATTAAAAAAACATTCATTTATGGAATTACCTATGGATAAGAGAATTTTAAAATAGTGCTACAAAAATTTTCAATTCGCTTAAAAAGTTTTCGAGATAGAGCGAAATACGCAAAAAAATAAAATTGACATAAAGGGGTTCAAACTGTCTACCAATTTCCTGACTAAGTTATTGGCCCCATATTTTCCCGATACCCCTCTATATTTTGGTGGTCAGGAAGGTGTGTTTATTCACAGAGAGAGTACGTTTTTGTGCCTGATTTCGTAAATTTAAATATCACCTGCACTATCTAATTTAGAGTTTCCCAATCGCAACTTTAATATTGATTCATAGTAAGTGTTAATTCGCTCATTAAATCAAAAGTTATCTTGGATGGGGTATTTTTACTCACAGTGCATGATCTCCTGCAATCACAATTTGTAGCTTAGCAAGATAACTCTTTTAAAAATTATTACTTTTTGTGTTTTTTCAAGGAGCATTGATTTCTTTTTTATTTTGTATGCTGATACATCTAAAGGGAAAAAAATTAATATGGTAGTAAAAGAGAAACAAAGAGAAATAAATAAACTTTCAATGTAAGGTAAAGTGGGATTTCTTTACGACACTTTTTAAGCTTTTTTTTTAATATGTTTCTTTAAAATAGTAATGTAAAGCTCTGAATACTGAACCATATTTTTTAAATTGGAAGACAAAACTTCATTCCAAATAGTTTTTAAAAAAATTCAAAAAATTTCTTTGTGTTATTAAATCGTTACTATGGATGGGATAAATTTAAGGCATGCAATTTAACAATTAATCCCACAAACCTCCAAAGGCTTTAAACTTCATTAATAAATATGAGAAATCTCTTAACTTAAACACTTCTAAATTTATAAAATTCTCTCAGTATTTTTTTGAGACAAATCAAGAAATGTGTTAGAATAGAAGAGTTTCCATAATTTTGTCCATCCCTGAAGGTATATCTTTTACTGTGATTTCTTTCACTAAAAACTCAGAACAAAATCCTTTGTTAGTTTTTATTGTACATATTTTAAGGACTATATTTTAAACATAATTTTAATTTATTTTTTAGTTTACTTTGTTTTATTTATATTTTACTTCAATTATTACATCAGAGGCCCTTTAAATAAATATTTAATAATTTAAATAGAAGCTTCTGAATTGAAAACTAGCCTGTAATCTTTCAATCGGCAAATATCTTTCATGACGTTCAAAATGGCCAAATCTAATGATAGATCATTTGAAAATAGAAAAACAATTTTGAAATCTGATATCAATTAACCTGAGAAATATAAATCAGATCAATAATTTAAAGGTTTTTTGTGAAAAATTAGAAAAGAAGGTTTATCATTAAGTTATTAAACAAATTATCCTTTTATCAATTTATCATTAAGTTATTCTCAATTAATTACATACCCTGAGAAATTTCAAAGTAACAAATAAAATTCCACATTGATTGAATAACTGGATAATTATGTCTCCATCCTGTTCGATGAATACAAAGTCCCGCAGTGGACTGATGGTTAAGACACGGTTCCGAGCAGATCACCGAAGTCAAGCATCACTGGCTGCGGTCAGTGTGCGGGTGGGTGACCACTTGGATCAGTCTGCGTAGGGACCGAGGGTGTGCGGTATTGGTCCTCGTTAAACTGTTCTACCGTAAAGTGCTCGACTTCGCGTGCAGGTCGTCGGGCTACCGAAGCGGGGGTGCCATCCCCTCTGCAGAGGATCAAAATTGTGATGGCATGTCTTCGGATCATCCTCCGGGGCATTTCCCAGACCGTCGCCAATAGCCCATTGTGCAGCTCTAGTGCGAAGTAAATTAACAAGAACAACGATGAATACAAATTCGAGAAAAACGCAGTTAAAATTCATGCGTATAATATGAAGTGTTTAAAGTAGTTTAGTGTTATGCGCATAAACAATACATTTCGTACTTAGTTCAATATATGCATCTTCTTGTTTCAGATTTGTGGCGTAACTACCACTATAAATGTTAAATACCAAATCACTAGTATATAAGACACGTTAACTTATTTTTATCTTTAGAAATGGCTCTATAGATAATGATAGATAGAAACAAGAATAACTTGGACATGACTTGTAAATATAATAAAAGCTTTGACAAAAATCAATTTGATTTATTTTAAAACTTGACCAAGCTATGTAAAGGGGCACTATGTAATGGAATGGAGGAAATGAGAATGCAATGTAAATGTGTAGAGAATGTGAAGAGAGAAAGAGAATTGTACATGGGGAGTACCATTAATTTTCGACAAACTTCTTAATCGAAGTACACCTTTTATCATTTTATCTTTATTTTATTACTTTATTATCTTATGTACTGCAAAATGTATCATTTTATATGATTTTACTCGAACAATGTGCTCACTACTAATTCTTAACTTTCAATTTTAGGAAACAAGGATCTCAAGGATCCACAGGCACCCCCGCCAATCGACAGGACTAGGACTTTATCTTGAGATATCTTTCGATAGATGAAGGTAGACTTAGTCGATAGTTATATCCAGGGGCAGCGGGGTGCAAGAAGTTGCACTTGCACCCTCCTGGCTTTTTTTTTTAAAACAATAAAAGAGATACAGAAAAACAATTTTGTTATAAATTTTTTTGTTAAAAATGTTTTTATTCAAAAACAAATAATTACGCAATTATTGATTCATAACAATTACAAAATTGTTTAATCAAACAAGAATTGTAATCGTCTTGTTTGCTGTCCAAATTCTGCTTATAACTTTTTCAATGAATTCTGAGTCATCTTTGATTCTTTTCTTATGCACACTGAGCATGAACAAACTTGTCAGATATCTAAGCTATATTTTTAAATTTCATTTAATAGAATGTAAATGATATTATATTTTTTATTAGTTACTTAGTCTAACAAAGGTGTATAACACAAACTGACTCCTCGCAACTGTAAAACTTCATCAACGAAATAAATAGCGTGCACAAACATGCTAGTATACGAAACTACTGTTTGTAGTTATTTATGTTGTAAAGTCCGTTGCTGTGCCAGCGCCATCAGTACAGTTTCTCGTGGCAAAATTTGCAAGTACAAGAAATTCGTACTTTTTTTAAAATATCTTGTTAACAGTGAAAAAATGTATCTTGAAAAAAATTAACAGATGAAAGTATATGAATAACAAAACAAAATGTAATAACAGAATATTTAAATTTTTTTTTTGGGCGGGGGAGTAATTTGTTAGACTGGGTTACACCCCCTTTTATATTTTCGGCCGGCGCTCTTGGTTATACCCCTTCAATGGTGACCTGCGAACGTGATAAGAACTCACCAACATCGATGGATGGTTCACATTAATCAGTTGATTAGCTTAAAATAAAGAGCTGCAAAATAATAAAAATAATCCGGTGAAGTAAATAATAGTTTCTTGGTCAATAAACAAAAAACTGAAGGGGGGGGGGGAATGAGCCAAATGATATTAAAACGAAGAAGAAAATAAAATGATAAAACAAAATGAAAATAATAACAGCATAAATCAACTAGTGGTGTTCGTTCATCGAATTTTATCACAGATAAAATTCTGGTAATGAAGCGTAACTACCATTATAAATATTAAAAGCTAAAATCACTAGTATATAAGACTTGTTAACTTGATTCTATCATGAGGTACTTTTTGATAGATGATGTTTGGCATAGTCAATAATTAATTATCCTCAGATTCTTCTTAAGAAAGAATTTTATGGCATTTTTTTCTCCTTGGAGATGTTTTGCTTCAAAAATGAAAAGGCAGTTAACTGAATTATTACAACGATTCAATTCAAAGTTCAATTCATTTAATACAAGTTAGACTACGTTCGATTTTGATAAGTGTCCTTGGTGGAAAAAAACGATAGACACCTGTTCAAATGGGAAATTTCCCGTAGCGCGTCATGAACTCGTGAGTGGGTGTAATGCATCTTTATTAGAATTATTTATTATCAACACCGCTTGTTAAAATCCTTTTCAATTGATTTAAGCAACGATTTTCAGTCGAATCAGTAAAAAATTGTGAGAGGAGAGATTAAAATTGAGAACTAATGATGATAAAAAAAAAACCTGATAAAGAAATCCTAAACTTATTTCAAAAGCAGCTAACAATGATAAAGTGATTTATTGTTTTGGTTTTGGTTATTTTCCCGTTGTGTTATTTACCGTCCCAACATTTATTTCCTTCCTTAACTAATGATTGTCGCTACAGTTTTTATCTGAATATGATAAGATTCGTCATTGTATTTAAACGGAAGAATTGAAGAAAGTTCTTAACTTGAACTACTTTTAACATTTAAGATGGGAGTTCGTGGTTTAAGCAGATTTATTGAAGAATGTAACTTTGGCAGATGCTTCGAATTGCATGATACATCAGTTATTATAGATGGATGCAGTCTTCTACATTGCTTGTATGCTTCCAGTGGAGCTGCTTACATATACGGAGGAGATTATGATGTGTAAGTTTTCCTTTATTTACTATTTGTTCACTATAATTTACATTACACTATGAAGAAAAAATTATTTTCCTCTTATCGTTTTATTAAAAAATATTAACTTAAAGTAAGGTTTAACTCATAAGCGTGGAGTGGAATTTACTTCAGCATTTGATTTTAGTGTATGCATAACTGTAGATGTGCTTTATTTTTACAGATTTCATTGTCAATCCGGGTTACTTTTAAACCCTTTCTTTTTACAGTTTTTGCTACTTATTTCCAGTTTTTTTTTTTCTTAAGAAGAACTTGATATTTTTAATACAATGTTATTACAACACGAGAGATTCGAACATGGGTTTTTAAACTGTTTAAACGTTTTTCAACTTTGTGTCTAATTTTCTGAAACTTAAAAAGTCATTTAAGATTCGACATTCATAAAATTTCTTATAATTCACTAAATATATAAATGTCCTAAGTCAAAAATATGATGTGTTGAGCAACTGAATCCTAACTGAACGTGAATCTTATTTTCAGCCAAGGGCGCCGGCAGGGGGGTGCAAGGAGGTGCACTTGCACCCCCCTGGCTTTTTTTCAAACAATTAAAGAGGTACAGAAAAGCAATCTTGATATAAACTTTTGAAATTAAAAATATTTTTATTTAAAAACAAATAATTAAGTAATTATTGATATTTAACAATTAAAAAATTGTTTAATTAAACACGAATTGTAATCGTCTTGTTTGCTGTCCAAATCTGCTTATAACTTTTTCAATGAATTCTGAGACATCTTTGATTCTTTTCTTATGCACACTAAGCATGCACAAACTACTTAATCTCTTGTGAGACATTGTAGACCGATTCCATATTTTGATGTGTCGCATTGTACTAAAAGTGCGTTCAATAGTGCACGTAGTAGCTGGAAGAGTTAGGCCAATTTTGATTACCTCCGCTACAGCTGGATAAAACGGTGTGGCCTCAATAACTAAATCGATGTACTAGAGGGATTCATAAGATTTTCTCGATTTCTCCACATTTCGTACCACGTTGTAGCTTCAGTGATGAAATTCAGGGAGAGCAGATCCTTATACAAGTACATAAACTGCTGTTTGTAGAAAATGCAACACCATGAAGGAATCATCAGAATCAAATGAAATATTATTTTAATAATGGATATAGGATATTATGCAAATTAATAAAGTTTCAGAGCCATCGCGCGTGCGTGGCGCGCGCAGCGCCCTCTGAATTGATGCTGAAAGCGTATAAATAAAGTGCTGTAGCGGGACGTTGAAAATAGTCTATGATTATTTGTTAGTGGCAAACGTTTAGTGAGACCTGAGTATGCCTCCACGACGGAAGAATAAGAAATTCAAGCAACTTACGGAGTTTGAACGAGGGAGGATAATCGGCCTTCGAGAAGGAGGATTTTCCTATCGCGCAATAGCAGCTCGTATGCAGCGGAACAGTTCCACAGTGATGCGAGTTTGGAAGCAGTGGACCGACGAGCACCGAACAACTCGAAAAACAGGCACTGGACGACAGAAGGTGACGTCAGAGCGCGATGATCGACACCTGCTCCGCATGGCGGTGAATGATCGCACAGCTTCCTCCAGGCAGCTGGCAGCACATTGGTCTACTGCTACAGGTGTACAATTGTCGGCTTCGTCAATTCGTCGTCGTCTGCTGCGCCGTGGATTGCGTGCAAGGGTGCCATTATACAGGATTCCCCTCACGGCGGATCATCGACGGCTGCGTCGGCAGTGGGCTCTTGAGCACAGAGACTGGCGAGCTGATTGGCACCAAGTTGTCTTTTCAGATGAATCACGCTTCAATTTGTGGACCCATGATGGCCGTGTTCGTGTTAGACGTTATGCCGGTCAACGCTGCCTTCCTGAGTGTATTATTGAACGACATAGTGGTCGAACACCCGGAGTTATGGTCTGGGGTGCGATTTCGTATCATGGACGATCCAATTTGATACGAATTGAGGGTAATCTCAATAGCAACAGATACGTCCGTGAAGTGCTACAGCCCGAAGTCGTTCCTTTCCTTCAAGGCATCCCTGGAGCTATCTTTCAGCAGGATAATGCACGCCCACATGTTGCGCGGACTGTTAGAGACTTCTGTTCAGCACAACGCATGCAACTTCTTCCTTGGCCTGCTTATTCGCCGGATATGTCGCCTATTGAGCACGTGTGGGATATGGTTGGTCGGCGTCTCACTCGTGATCCGCGTCCTGCAGTTTCCAAAGACGAACTTTGGTTGCGCATACAAGCGATATGGAATTCTCTTCCTCAAGCAGATATTCAACATCTGTTTGACTCCATGCCACGTCGTATAGCAGCACTTATTGCAGCGCGTGGTGGCTGCACCAAATACTGATTTCGGACGCTTAATTTGTTTCTTTTGTTTTGAAAATTTCATCATTTATTTGTATCAGTACAAGTCGTTTCTGCATTAAATTTCATTTGATTCTGATGATTCTTTCAAGGTGTTGCATTTTCTACAAACAGCAGTTTATATCTTCTAAAATTTCAAGATATGACGCTTTGTCCAGTTTGTTAATTGCATTCGGATGAAGCTTTAAGAGAGAAAATGCTTTTCCTTGTGTAGAAGAAAAACGGTCTTTCAACGATGATATAATGGAGTCCAAATGAGGAATAAAGATTGACCTCCTGAAAAATTCTTCTGCGTTTTTAGAAGACACATTCGATATATAGCAATATTTTTAAATTTCATTTAATAAAATATAAATAATATTACATTTTCTATCAGTTATTTAGTTTAAAAAAGGTGTATAACACAAACTAACTTCTCGCAACTGTAAAACTTCATCAACACAATAAATACCAATGTTAAGCGTGCACGAACACGTTAGTATGCAAAACTACTGTTTGTAGTTATTTGTGTTTCAGAGTCAGTAGCTGTGCCATCAATACAGTTTCTCGTGGAAAAATTTGCAAGTATAAGAAATTCGCACTTTTTTTTTAAATATCTTGGTAACAATGAAGAAATATATTTTGAAAAAAATTAACAGATGAAAGCATATGTAATAACAAAACAAAATGTAATACCAGAATATTTAAAATGTTTTTTGGGTGGGGAGAGGGTTAGTTTGTTAGAGGGTTGCATCCACTTTCATATTATTCTGCCGGCGCCCTTGTTTTCAGCTGTAATGTGTTTGTTTTATTTTAAATCATTTTAGACGAAATAAAATTTCTTTAATTAAAATATTTAATTTGCATTTACATTGCTCTATAAATATTTCTTACTTTCATTTCTGAATTTATTTATTTTAAAATTATCTTATGTATCAAGTAATGTGATGAAAAAAACTTTACTTTTCTTCATTGATAAATATTTTTTTTTTAAAGTATCAGTTTGTTATTCTGCAGTTTGATAAATTTTATTATTTAGTAGAAGAATTTAGCTTTATGCAAATATATTATTAAGTTGATTGATTAAAAGAATTGTGTCTAAAGCACTGAAGTTCGTATTAAAATTATCATGTCTAGGGTATGCTGTCAAGAGCAAAGTATGTTGATCATCCTAAAATGTTAAACAGGACGTAAACGATTAGTTACATTATTATCTGCATCTAATCGTTAGATCTATTAGATGCATTATGCTTTCCAATGATTGATATGGTCATGCCCATGTGAATCCATGAATTTATCACCTCAAGTTTGTGTGATGCTTCAAAAGAGAAAAAAACCAGCTGACAGAACTAACGTGCTGTAATTGGGTATAATATGAAAAAAACACAACTACTTCGATTTAGTAGGAACAACATCTGACGCAATGCTAAACGAATGGAATTTAGTTGTTGTTTATTTAGTTATTGTTATTAGTAGTTGTTGTTATTAGTTTTAGTTGTTGTTGTTTATTTAGTTGTATTTAGTTTCAATAACTTTTCTTTATAATGCAATAAAATCTGGCGAGCAGCTATTTAAACGATCGAACACATCGTTTGTTTATTTGTGGCTTGAAGTTAGGCTCGCAGAAAATGCCGTTCATGGGTTAAATTTAGTAGGAACAACACAACCTGTGACGTAGGCTATATTATACCCAATTACGGAAACCACAGTAGTTGCTATTTGTTTTCGTAGTTTGTTGTAAAATGTGCAATTTTTAAAAAAAAATAGTGTAGTTACTAGTGCGAAACAAAAAACAAGGTACAAAAATAAACAAGGCTCAAACGCAACTATTTTTTCGAATCTGATTGGTGCAAATCTTACGCGATTCCATCAACGCACTGTGGGCCAGAAGACCATGATCTTTTGCCAAAAGTCAAAGATTAAATTTTCAGCTAAAATATGTGTAGGCAGTTTTAATATAACCCAAATTAAGTATTCATAATCATTCCAAACATTATAATTTATTTTTTGGACTGACGAGAATAATGTAATGAAAAATATGTTAAGAAAAATTTTTTAAATGTAACTTTTAAATTTTTATTTCAGAAATATACATAGGAATTTCATCTTACTGTTACATTTTTATCAGAGTAATTAGTCTGAAATTATAGTACAATTTTTTGGATTAGTTAATACTCTTGACAATTTTATAGTTTATATCTTATCATTTGACATTTTACAATGTTTGAATGAATTTCGAAACTTAGTTCCAAAAAGTTCCACGAGGTAATTAGAGCTTAATTTTTTTTTGTTATTTTCTTTGATGTTTCTTCTTTCGAAAAAACCTGCCCCATTTTGCCCGTATTGCAAAGGTGGACTAAATATACCGAAAAACAAAAATTATGTTGTTTTTTTTCATGTTTTCGCGTTATTTTGTAATATTACTTCGGAAATATAATTTGCTTTTCATTTTTAATATAAAATTACGAAAATTATTATATTTTCATTGCTATATTTAATTATTTAAACGTACTATATTATTTTTTTTTGTTTTTGCTCGCCATATTTCAGTCGTCAATTTGCTTTTTTGGGGGATATTTTTAGCATATTTCAAAATTTCAGCTATGAATTCAATTTACCTGCACATAAAAAACTTCTAATTTTGAAAGAA